AATTAAAAACACTGATCATTTATTGAACAGGATGGAATCATTTCATATTTGAAGTTCTTTCAGAAGTTTGAATTCAAAATATGACCGGACTTCTTCTTTAAAAATGTTCTCTTTAATAAAAGCAGGTCACCTCTTATAAGAGCAGCTATTTGTCCAAACATCCATCCATCTTCGTCATGCTTATCCCTGCTGGGCTGGCAAAAGGTGCAGGTGTCTATCTCCAGCTGTCAGTGGGTGAGAGGCGGGTCCACCCTGGACAGGTCGCCAGGTCATTGCAGGGCAACACAGAGACAAACAGGACAAACAACCATTCACACTCACACCTAAGGAGACTTTAGAGAAGCCAATTCACTTATTAGTCATGTTTTTGGACTGTGGGAGGAAGCTAGAGTACCCAGAGAGAACCCAAGCATGCTCAGGGAGAACATGCAAACTCCATGCAGAAAGGCTGGGAATCAAACCTGAAACCTTCTTGCTGCAAGGCTCAGCTCATTTAATCGCTCACAGATTTTTTTATGAATCCAGTCATCACTGCTGTCTCTGTTCTTTCACATAAGTCTGCTTGTTATTTGCTCTGCATCTACATTGATGACCGAATCCAGACAGCCTAACCCTAATCTGGGGAAGTTTGCCAATGACACAGTCCTGCTCTCTACATTTACAACACTTTGGTTTAATGCTCCTCTTGAACTTAATTCAAATGAGACAACAAATTAAAAACCTCTCTGGGACTTTGCATCTTATCTCATGTCTTCTGAGTTGTCAATAAAGATCAATTGATTGATTGATGCTCATCTTTACATGTTTAACATTTAATGAAGGAATTTGTTGCGGAGGTCACCGTATCTTATCTGTTTCATGTTCTTTTCATCCACAGATGGTTCATTTTGTAGCAAACTTCCTCCTTTACAGCATTGTATGGATTTGTTGATATCTGTCTTCTGTTGTTTCTGTTCAGTTGTGCCTTTTGATTGATCCTTGGGAACAAATAAAGTCTCACTAAACAACAACCAATGGTTGCTCTGAGTGAGCTTCAGCCTGTGATTTTTTTGCTGATAGAGAATCTTTACAAAATAGAACTAGCTCATTATTAATCATGGATGATAGAAATATAGCCTAACTAACAGAGAATGACACATTTTAAAGGTTAGTTGTAAAGGACCAAACTTAAATGACAACAAATGTGTTCTAAAATGGAAAAAAAACAACTTTTATTTAATAATGTCAAAAATACTTAAAGGATTAAACTTCAATACAAAATAGCCTAAATAATAAATAACATGGATTTGGGCCCAACTCAACTGAGGTCGACTGAACAATAACTGACTGAAACAAAAAACTCGCCTACTGGTAAAGAACAGAGGCGACTTAGAGGTTGATTTCCTAAACTTGCCACATGAGGGAAGAGTAGTATAACGGAAAACAAATTAAAAAAATCCTTTAAAAGCTAAAACACACTAAACATACAAATCAACCCTTTAACTGAGCATACAGCATAAGTGAATATTAAGGTGACAAAATAGCAAGATTGACTTAAACAAAATTCCCCCCTCAGTTCTTTGGGAAAGTGGTATGTTCCTGGCTTCCACCAAGCGTGAGTTAAACCATTCAGACATTGTCATGATTTTATCCAAAGATCTGACCCACGTGCAGAAAACCAAACAGAGACCAGGGGAAGCTATAACAGGTTTATTGTGAATTGGTAGAGAGGAGTCCAGTGCTGCTCTGAACATTGGCAAACCGGGACTGAAAAGTTAAAGGGAAGATTCTGCGGTTAGTTCAGGCTCAGTGGGAGATTTGTGTCTTTGATTTGAAAAAAGGGAATAACGGCAACAGGACTCACGTTTCCAGAAAAACGTCTTTCATTGAATCCAGTCGGTGTGGGTTGTTCCAGTATTAGACCTGTTCGTTGGAGGGCGGACAGGGTTTAACCAGGTTGAGGTGTTTCCTTGAGGAACGGAGGAGCTGACTGCCGCTTAGATTTCCTGTGGTACTTGAACGGTTTCTTGTGGAGATGAGTCCCCTGCTCAGAGAGAAGCCCAAACAATCCTTGGGGAAAAGTTGATCCAAATAACCAGTTTGAATATTCAGCTCAGTTTGACGCTCAGAGAATCCTTCCGGGGGGAGAAGGTCCAAAATATCAAGTTTGCAGGATGACTTCCTGCCAAGAGGCAAAGACAAAAAACAGCAAGGTTAAGACTCAGGTGACAAAAACTCAGTTTGACTCAGCAAAACTCTGGCTAGAGTACCCAAAACTGGCAAACGCTCTGGCGTCGAGGGTTGTGGCAGTCAGCAGCTTGAGAGTCCTCCGGTAATGAGGCAACCATCCGCAGGTGTGTGAGAAGGCCAACGAGAACCAGGCGCCACCTGGTGGTGGAGGAAAACAAAAAACACAGCCCACACAAACTGGATTCCTAACAGACACATTAATTAAAGTGTACACCCATTAGAAAATATATTGAATAACATAAACCAAAACTGGAACTAAATACAAATTATTAAAAAAAATTACACAAAGACTATAGGGGTGGTAGAAGGATCCACCACATTAGTAAAGAAAAAAACACAGAAAGAGGGGGAAAAAAACACTGTGTTTATTAACAAATTGGCCTTGGTTTACAGGAAACTGGTAAAACTGGGAATTAGATTGTAGAAAACCCAGAGCAGGTAATAAAGTGCAAATAGTGATTAACTTTTGTGCAGATAATGAACATAATATAAAAAGACAGCTAATTAATGGTTAACAACAGTACAATGTATACAACAATAACATGAAATGCATTAGAACAAATAGTTCTTATTCATATAAAGAACCTAACTTCCAGCATAGTTAGATGACCTCATGGAACCTGTTGGAAGCAGCAAAGGTCATAAGATCATAAAAGTAGGAGGGAGGAAGGGTCTGTGGCTCTGCTCGTTTGTGCACCTGGGGTCCAATAGTCTTTACGGAAGGAGCTAGAAAAATTTAGCAATCTTAAATTTTATGAATGAATGGTAAACTCAATGCAGTTAATTTATAGAGTATATGATCTCGCTCTCCAAATGGAATGAATGCTGGCGTACCATAAAGAATAAATGAGGAACAGTTTAGTTTGTGCCTTCAAGTCGTTGCCCATAAGAAGTTTAGAAAGACGTTACTTGAATATTACAAAACCGAATATCTTCAGAGCAGCTCCAAATGAGACAAAACTAATATGGGTGAGTAGAACATGATGTAATAACGTAAAATCAAGGGCCCAATGTAAAAACAAAAAAAAACAAACCCTTTCTATACATTTTTAAATTGGAGAGAAAAAAAGGATTAAGAACTAAAATAGACCCAATGCTATCATCTATAATCTAAGGTGTTGATGGCAGCAGTACAGCTGATATTTCTTTCTACCTTGCTAACTGTCCTTGTTGTAATGCTAATAACCTGTGATGTGACCAGTCTTCTACATGAGACTGAATAAAGGCTGAAACAAACTGGCATCAGAACAAGAGCATTTTTTCCCAGCACCCTTTTATTACCTGCCCCTGCAACATCAGACCTTTTTGCAGGAATATCTTGATAAGTCAGATCTAAATCTTTTACTTAGGCAAACCTATTGAACAAGCAGATATCATACGGGTCCTAGTTCCTGACCTGAGAACAGGTCATAAAACATGATTTTCCAACAAGGCAAGGCAGAGCCTATTTACATTGTCCATTCAGCAACAGACTCATTTATATTGCAAAGCTCACTATGTGAGAGAAAGAACAACTTAGAGAATAATTGTATTTTGTCTGGTCTCACCTTTTCATGTCATTCAACATTTCAGTTTAGAAAATGACAAACAGTCTGATTTCAGTATACAAAGCAGGGCTGCAGTGGAGGAGAGATTGCGCTGAAGTGACTTGAGTTATATTTGCCCCCTAGTAAATAGGACAGATGTCATTATTGTATAAACATTCTTGCTTTCCCTCTCTACAGCGTTCCAGCTCATGCAGCTATTTTCTTTGTACAGATCAGTTATCGTCTGATCGCTGCGCTGGTGGCTCCGCTGTCTAAAATGATTCCAGTGTTGGCGACACTCATGACTTAGACCTAGTTATATTTAATACAAATATGATTTTTTTCCCCCACCCTGCTCTCAGGTAAAACACTTGTCAACAGAGAGGCTTGAGCTAAAACTGAAACTGAAATTCATGAGTTGTGAAGTGTCAGGATTTGGTTGTGGTTTGAGGACCCAAATGCAGAGGCAGGGAGGCAGAGGTGAGTTTGTTGTAGATTTAACACTAAGGCCCCGTCCACACAAAGTCAAAACGAACACGAAACG